TTTGTACGTGCTGTGTTCGTGCCGTTGTGTTTGCGTTGAAGCGATAGACAGCGGGAAGGTCACTTTCCTCGCTGTACTGTACTGTACTGTATTGTACTGTACTGTGTGTGTGTGTGTGTGTGCGTGCGTGTGCGTGTGCGTGTGTGTGTGTGTGTGTGTGTGTGTGTGTGTGTGTGTGTGTGTGTGTGTGTGTGTGTGTGTGTGTGTGTGTGTGTGTGTGTTCATCCGTCCGTCCGTCCGTCTGTCCGCGTTTTGTCAAGTCGCGCCAGGCTGGGGTCTAAAAGAGTTGCCTGCTATAGTTACTTCGTGTAACATTCCAGTTTGCAGCAGTCGCATTCACTGCGTTGCCCTTATATTGAAACTGACACCTTTTCTTTTTTCTTTACAAATACTCAGTCTCATAAACTGCTTGCTCTGTATTAAAATTTTATGCCGCTCTCCCGAGTTCCCTGCCCCCGTTTGTCTTGTGTCCTACTGCGATAATGTCGCAGTGCATTCAACCGCTCATACAAATGCTCTCATTTTTTAGGTGTCGCTGGCGATATAATTTACAATATTTACAAAACTTCGGAGCCGCTTTCGACTTCTTAGAATTGAGTTTTTATATGATTCTCAGTTCACTTATACTCAGCTTTAGGTTTCTAGTTGCTCTCGCTCCGTCACTAGCTTGATATCTTCTGTACTGGTGGTTCATCTGGAAAAACGCGCGTGGGTTTAGTTGACGACGTCACTAAAAAAGAGACAGTTTAACTACAGTTGGTGCTGATCATTTTCTGATCTGGAACACTTTTATTTTTTGTGTATATAGAATAACGAAAACGTGACGTGAGCGTTGCTTAGGGTTGTGCGTGTTTCGGGTTTACTGGCCTCGTGAACGTTCTTGTTAGAGTATTAGTAGCAGTTTTCGTTGTTTGTAGTAGTGTTAATTAAGCTGCTCAAGGCTCTTTTTTTTTTTACTGAAGTTTTCACGCTTCCACTATCCGTCGCAGTTCAGGCCGTCCTGTTTCTCCTGTTCCTTTCTATTTTTACTCTTTTCTATTTTTGTTGTTTTCGACGCGCTTTCTAATCGTGGAATGCAAAACGTGCTCTCAGTGTCGCATAATTGTTGAGAGGCAACTAATATCCGTTAACGCTGGCTCTCTGATGTGTTGTCTTTTTTTTTATGTCGAAGCTCGTTATATACGCAAAGCAACAATATTGCATGGCTTCCCGTGGTGATTGGCTGAATGACTTTCTCCTCTCTCTCCTAACCTGGCTCCTTTACAGGTTTGTGGCACGAACTCACGCTCGCTCACTCGGCTCATAGTAAGTCGTTTAACTTGAAGGCATCGCTTGTTCATTCATTTAGTTTAGATAAGTTGATAGTTTTGTCTTGTAGTTCTTATTAGTTTATAGTCTACTTTTTAAAGGTATTTGATTGTCAAGTCTCTTAAGCTTTACTTTTCAATATTTTCGTGTTTAACGTATTTGTTTAAACTGTTTCAAGAGTTTTATTCGCTCACTTTATTTAAAGAATGTTTAGTCCTTTAAATAAATTGTTCGTAACTGAGTCATCTAGTACGTATTAATTTATAGTTTAGTCGTTCCGTTTAGAATGCAGTTTTATTTTTGTGGTTACGTTTAAAGTTAGTTCGAAGCGTGCACTGCACGCGTAGCTTATACTGACATGGTTGACATGCATGCGTGGACGCCTAGACTTGTTGCCGTTCGCAGTGTAATTTCCTGTGTTTTCGCTTCGTACAGAATGCTGATTATCTTTAGTACTCATTTCGGTTAGTTCAAATATAACTTCCATCAAATGGATATTAATGAAGAGTGCAAGGCGAAAACGTGTGCGAGGGTAATTTTTTAAGTGAGCGAAAATAGCAAGGGAATGTTGCGATTGTGAAGTTTCGAAAACTGCGCGCTTTAATGCAGACATTTTTTTTTTCTTATTTCACTGGCGGAGCTGATTAAGCTTGGACTAAGGGCGTTGTCGTGGACAGAAAACTTTGCGAATATGTGCCACAAAAAGGAGGTGTGTCAAGCAGCTCTTAGTATATTTTAGCAAAGGGGTGGAAAAGGGAACTTAAGCGGAGAAGGAATGATATGACATTGAGGGCGAAGAAGAAGAGGGAAGAAAGCAAGGCATGCGATAGTCTAGAGTATAGTTTAATACGCCGTCATATATATCAAGACCTATTAAAATATAGTTTGATGTAATATTATATACTTTAACAAGTGGATGGGAAAGGTAAGCGCGGGTGAGGAAAACTGTTGTTTAGGAGATGAGTAGGGAAATGATTTGTTGTTACAATAAAGTATCGGGCAACCATGTTCAGTATAGCATGGTGAGGAATAGGAAAGAAGTAAGAGTTGGGGGGGGGACGTGAGGTTAGGAGGGAATAAAGGGGGAGATAAAGCAACATTACAGTAGATAAGATAGCACATGCAATAAAAAAGAAATAAGATCTAGAACTAGATTTACAAATAAAAAATAAGAACATGAGATGAGGAAAGAAAACAATCTACGTTCGCTAGTTGGTTGCGCTTGCTTGTCATCTCCGCGGTTTACTGAGGTAAGGAACTGGCTTTAATATTTTTCTTTTTTTTCTTTATAACCCGCACATTCGCGAGACTTTATTTGAGTTTTTCGTTTGCGTGACATAGCAAATGAGATGATCGTCTGGGTGACATTTCCTTTTTCTCGTCTCTCCCACCCACTCTTCTTTCTGTCTGCATGGATTACCTTGAGAAAAATTCTAGGGTGTCTAACCTTGCGAATTCAGGTTTGTTTTGTTACCCCGCGCCATTGCGTACGAAAACATAGAATCGTAAACATAAAAGTGATTCTAACATGAAACAAAGTTGTTTCGCTAGCCAAATAATCATTAATATTATTGTTATTATTATTGTTTTTGTTGTTGTCACAATAGGTTGTAAGTCATCAGGAGAAGCCTCTTTCGATTCGGAACGCTGTCAAATTCGTCCATAATATCTGTCTGCATAGTGGCGGAATTTTTAGCCCATCAGAGCGGTTGCAGAAGCGCCCCCTATGGCGCTCAGCGTTCACGCATCGAAGAGTTTGACGATGTGGCAGAAAGTGACAATGGCGACGCGCCCACAGTGCCGACTGGCAGCACGTACCACGTGCATAGGACGAGAAGGATTAACTACATGCCTTATTTACACTATTTTGAGTTGACTCGAATGTAGTTCCGGCCACCTAATATTGCACGGCAAATGAAAAACTAGGAAAAGTGCGATAACAATTAATAAAGAGTAGATTTACCATGTCGCTTAAAAAAAAAAAAACGTTGAATAGTTGTTTGTAAAGGTGGCTTCTTGAGTATACTTAAAAGCTATGCTGAAAAGCTAGCTTCGCGTCAACACCCGGGTTTTGTTTGCAGATTTCTTTTTGTTGCGATAGCAAATATATGAACAGTCTCGACTGGTTTTTACCGCCGCCCGCCGTTATAGCACCGTGTATGTGTACGTATCTATATATATGGAAAACTCAAGAAAGAAAAAAAGCCGCCCGCGCTCGGTGCCCAGCTCGTCGCGATGCGCCAACGGCCCGGCTTATCACCCACGTCCCGCTTATCTCCCACGCGTACTTTACTCCGCGAATAGGGGGGGGGGGGGGGTAAGTGCTTGTGTGTGGGCGCTTATCCTTCGGTGAGGGAAGAATCGTGTACTTCGGTTTTTCACCGGAAGATTGCGTTTAGTTGCCGGGCGTACAGAGATCACTTCGCTCGCTGCGCAGGCCCCGTTTGCAAAAAAAGGGCGCGCTTTTCAAACACAGTGAAGCAACAACTGGGACACTCGTTAGTTCGCACTCGTATCTGCACCTGTGATTACGTTGCGTGCCTCGTTTTTGTTTAAACAGCGCTTTAGGCGTCGAGCTGTAAACGTCGTTAGTTAGGTTTTTGTCCTGCGTATGTTGTTTTCGTGCGCCATTTGTGCGTGGGCAGCGCGCTGCGCGTTTCGATCCGCTAGCCGTTCTCAGCGTTACATTCCAAGCTGTTGCTATCGCATTCATTGACTCGCCCTTGTGGTGAAACTACGACTTTTTTGCGAATTTTTCTCAGTGTATGAGTTGCGCAAAAGGTGATACGAAATATGTTGCATGCACAACCACGCCACAGCGTGTCTGACTAATTCTTTGTTTCAGTTGTTGGTTGACCTAACACTGAAACTATTTTCGGTTGAGATAGTAAGTCAACTGCCGGAACTTTGGGTTTCGAATGAAGATAAACCAGGTTGGCCTAAAACTGCGTAAACACGGTACACATGCCACTGAGATGCGCACTGTGATGTATAGCTCATTCTTACGTCCTGTATTGTTTCAAGTAAGCGCTTTATGTTCGTCGCCCTTCCTTCCAAACCGATATACGGATATTTGGTGAATTCGAAGGAAATGCTTAGGTACACATAACTAAAATTGCTAAATGAAGTGGCAGAATAAATATGGCCGTAGCTTTGATGTATTTGAATGTACTATGAAGTGTATATGCCGAGTTCTCCGAGATGCCAATTTTCTTTAGGGCGGGACAATAAATAAGCTTTTCTTAGTCACAGTCTGGTGAATTTTGTCTGGTATTTTCTGCTATGGTTTTTTTATGCGTATGTTTTACATTGTTTGCACTCCGTCGCACTTTTAATGCGTAGTTTCGCAACTTTTTCATTTTTCTCACGCAAATACGTGTGTGTAATCCCCACCGCCCTGGTCTCGCGATCGCACCCGGTCGATTCTTTTTCGGGCTTTTTTGTCCGTGCACCGAACACCTGACAGAGCCTAAATTACTTTAACTGGAGTTTGTTTCTGTCTTCTATTGCGCTATGTTCCTTCCAGTTTCAAAAACACGCCCCAAGCATCTCAGCTCAGGTGATTATGATGATGATGATGTATCAACGAGCGATACGCGCAGGCATGCCATGCGTCGCGGACGGGTATCAACTCGCCCTTGCTGGTGATGATGATGATGATGATGATGTAACTCAACGCGTAACACGCACAGGCATCCCGTGCGTTGCGGACGCGTACCAGCTGACGCTCGACGCCGACGAGTTGGGCGAGGCGCAGCGGGAACCGCTGGAGCGACTGCGAGCCCGGTTCGAGCAGGCGCTGCGCGACATCGAGGAGCGCTGGCGTCATCGGGTCGCCGATCTCGAGGCCCAGCTGTGCGGCCAACCAGAGGTTGACAAGGACTCGATTGACTGCGCGCAGTCGACCATCGCCAAGCTGCAGGACGAACTGAGCATGCGCAACGTGCTGGCCGAGCGCTTGCGTGCCGACGTCACGGCGCTGCAGAACCAGCTCGCCCAGCAGAGGGAGCAGCTGGCCTCCGAGCTCGCCGCCAGGGAACACGAGGTGGCGCTCCTGGGTGAGCAGAAGAGGGCCTCGGAGACGGCCGTTCAGACGCTCCAGGTGGGTTTGTCATTCTGTCGTTGATTAGGTGAATATATATACATCGCTGCTGACTCAAAAGTCAATGGATTCATTCCCGGCCGCACCGGCCGCATTTCGAAGGCGGCGAAAAGTTACAAGCCCGCGAACTACGTGATGTAGATGGTTGAAATTCCCGGAGCCGTCCACCACTGCGCGCCTTATAATTTCATTGTTGTGTTGGCATGAAATCTCAGATGCTATCAGTATTAACTATATGTGGGCTAATCCCGCCTATTTCGAGGGTTCGTCGAAGCAGCATTCAGGAGATGAACTTTCTGGAATGCCCTTCTTTGCCACGCGTTTCCAGTGCCGCTCTTCATACTCGAATGAATGCCGACTTCCCTGAAAACCTTTAACTAGGATAACAGCCTTGATAATTCATTTACGGTATCACTTTAAACAGGAACATCAAAGACTATAGTAATGCTAAAGCCCGTCGGTAGCAGATAATGTTAAAATGAAAACAACCGCTGACCACCAAAAAAAGAGGAATGTAAAAGTAAGATTTTTCAATGCTTGCACGGGAAACGAAAATTCTAATATTGTGGTTTAAACGTTCTTTTTTGTGTGTGTTTGGTTGTGTGTGTGTGTGTGTGCAATTCTCGTCAAGCTGCCTTTGTAAAAAGAAAAAACATTTCCTTGCCTATTTTTTTTAGTTTTGACCGTAGGTCAGGTATACTATGAAGTTCAGTCAGATTCACTCAAGAAATATATTTTCAGTTTTGGACTCACTCGTGCTCAAACTCGCAAAAATTTTTTTGAGCCCAACTCTCTCAGACTCACACTCACAAACTTTGTCTTCAACAAGACTCGCTCGGACTCAAACTCATCAGAAGATTAGTCACTGAGACTCAAACTCATTGCTTGATATGAGTCTGAGTGAGTCGACTCATGAGTCTGTTAGTCTAGAATCAGCTTCTTAAACTATAGTGTCACTGCTCTTAATGGTGCCCGTGGACATAGTATCTTCAACAACAAGAGCTGAGTGCTTAAATACCATTAAGGTCATTTTTCTTGCGAGAGGTGATGGCATGACGCATATTTATCAAAAACTTCCTTGGAAGAGTTGGTGAAGGGGGAGGTAAAAGCACACTCCTACGCAATTCGCTCCTCTGATCAATAAATACTGAAATGATGTTTGAATGACACTGCTTTGGAATACCTATGAGTAGATGTGAGTACGAATTTCAATCCAGGCAATGCTGATAGTAATGCTGAAGATGACTAGACAAGACATTAGATCAGCAAAATAAAGTGCGAAATTCACTCAGAATCACTGAAGAAATATATATTGTGCTTTGGATTGACTGGGACTGACACTCGCCAAAATTTTCCTCGGCCAAACTCACTGGGACTTAGCACTCGCGAAAGTATTACTCACTCTGACTCACTCGGGCCTAGACTCGTAGCTCGATCTGAATCTGAGCGAGTCCGAGGGAGTCAACTCATAAGTGAGTTCACTGACCGATAGTCTTGACTGGCCATGCATATTTTTTTCATTCAGTATATGACTTTCTTTGAAGACAGTGAGGCACATGATCTCTCTTCGGAGATTGTTTTACTTCCTTCAGAGAGCCGTGGGGCCAAACAAGATCATTCACATGCCTCCTTAAAGATACACTAAAGAGAAGGGCAGTTTTTTTGCACCTTAATACATAGCAATTTCACAATACCGAAAATGCGTGGCAAAAATACCGAAAATGCTTGGTAAGCGAGGGGGCACGCAGAAAGAAGATGCGGGTGGTGACCTCTCCAAATTTCTGCGCAATACACCATGGCTTCACACATTTTGATGGCACTCACTAGGTCATACGTAGGTCATACGTCTAAGTTTATGACCTAAATGCAGCCACGAGGAAGTGGGTTTCTATAAGAAAGTGAAATGTCTGAAACACTTGAGGAACACCTGATTGTCATGAAAATAAATAAGCACTATTCTCGTAGGAGGCACAGCGATGGGCGTAGGTGCAGTTGACATTATTTCTCAGGTTGTAAACAAGTGTACTCTAGGTGTCTCATTTGAACAGGCCACCATAATGCTACCATTGTTGAAATCTGCATCACCTCTATGCAGGCGAAGTTAGACGAAGTGCAAAAGAAGGCTGCTGAAGAGCACAACAACAAGAGTGAGGCTTGGAACACGGAGCGTGAAGCCCTGCTCGCGAACAGTCGAGGCGAAGACGAAGCAGCTAGCAAGAGTTCAAGGCCTCTCTGGTTGAACCAACAATTTCAAGCGAGGCCCTTAGCCGCCTTCAGGGTGAAGCGGAGCCCTCTCGGCTTCTGATGTCGAAGGCGAGACTCGTAGTCACCTGCAGGCCATGTATGAGTCAAAGCTGGCGGAGGTGCGGTGTCAGGTCGAGCAGGATCTCGTGCGAAAGGTGAGAAGCTTGATGTAGGTTCGGGTTGGTTGGTTGGTGAGGTATTCCTGGATAGCAATTACTTTCGAATAACTTGCTCGTCTTTTTTAAAAGAGTATTAGTATTTGTAAATGTGTGTGTCGTTATTTCCAATATAGAGTGCTCCTTCTTTCCCTATCAAGCTGTATGGGCAAAACAATTGTCAGAAAAGACAGAACTTCAAAAGAAAAGTGAGGCTTAGATAGGCTAATTTGGGAAAACCGCATGGCTTTGTAGCCAACGTTTGGACTAGTAAGCTTGACTTCGTGATGCATGCTTGGTGTGTGCATGTGTATTCTTCGTATGAAGTGTACATCTTGTCATCTGACCCTCTAGATTATTTCTATTGACATTGTTTGACCTTTTCCCTTTTTTTCCCAAGGTTCGCACTGATGTGGAGCGTGAGCTGCGCACCAGCCTGGAGCAGAACCTAAGGTTGCAGCCCAGCCGGAGAGACAGTGACCCTCAGGCGCAGCTCAGAAGGCCACAGGACCTGACAGCCCAGCTGACCGAGGACATTTGCCAGCTGCTCAGGCAGTGCTTACGATGCAGCGCAGGCTCCAACGCCAACACTGACGTCGAGGTCGAAGGGAACGTCCCTAACCAGGCCTACAAGACAGATGTTGACAGCGCACCCAGGTGGAGTACTGCTAAGACATCTTGAATTAAGAAAACAATTCAATCATTGAACCACAGGTGTGAAATTGCAAGAGGACAGACAGGGTGACGCCTATGCAAGTCTCGTGCTTGGTGTGACATTGTGTTAGATTTTGCAGCCTTTTTTTAGACCAGTTCTATATCTTCAGTGAGAAATCATGACTCATGACAGAATTTAGGTAAAAAAAAAAGCAAAATAGTCATTGCCTTCGCAAGCGGTTGTTGATGGTCACTTTTACCGTAGCATTACAAATAGCACTTGTTAAAGTTCGGAAGCATCATATTGTATTCCAGTGTGATACGGAACTTGGTCGATAACATTGGGTTAACTAGAGTGTGTTTTTTCATGTGTCATTCACTAAAATGCAGCGATGGCGGTGATCCTGGCCGCGAGTCCACACAAAGTGACGTCGGGAGCGTCCCTTCAGGAACAGCTGGCCAGCCTCATCAGCAAGGCCATCAGTGCCATAGAACGTCACCTAGAGGCTCTGCACTTGCAGGAGCATGAACGGCTGAGAAAGAACTGCTGAAGAGCAGCTACAGCGACTCAGTGAGTTTGCATTAGTCACACTAATATGGTGTCCAAGTAGGATTGCCATACACAAGAAAAAAAGTCAGTTTTGCTGCAAGGACAAAGCAATAAATGTGGCTCACATGATATTGTGATGTCATACTAAGTAATGCTAGCAGAGAACCCCTCTATGATCCGCGTGGTTGTAACTCTGAAAGTGCTGATTTAAGAGAAGAAAAGCTGCTTGTGTGAGCGAAAGTGATTATTATCATGCTTGTAGCCTTAGCACAAAGTGAATAGTGAGATGCAGCTTGTATAAGGGTACAAGTAAGCGGTGGAAGCTCGACACATACAAGGGTACGAGCCACTTACTGATCTCTGTTGAGCTGGTGCACTAGATTATTCTATTTGGATGATGTTTATCGTTGCTAAGATTGCTATAGCAATATAAGTGAACAGAAAAATAGCCGACGACGTATTTCAGGGGTTTCACTGCACTGTCAGTGCAAAGATATAGTGGGTGCATCGTTGGTTAATATAATAATAGGTAGTGTTAGGTTATGAAGTGAGTAGTACTAGTACCATTATTAGTATGATCTTCATAAAATGCACAAAGTACTGTATCCTGCATCCTGTATCCTGCAAAGGCTATCCTGCATAATAAAAGCATGAGAGGCCACTCGCTGGAATTGAGACAGCAGCCGAATATTTGTCAGGAGGGATCAATTAGATCATTCAGGTACGAAAAAGTGAAGCAAGGCCTTAAAAGGCTAGTGAAATCATCAAAAGCAGAAATCTTTCGTGACAAGAGGTGTCAGTAATGACTACAATGTCCTTAAAAAAGGAATACTTCTTGTCACTTGTGCACATCGTTAGGCACGTTAAAAGTAAAAAGCATTTCTTCAAACTCCTTTTGGGAATAATGCTACTTGCTCTACACCAGTTCAAGCTTTTGTCCCTAACTGCTACACCTGTTACACAGTTTTGGTGAATCACCCTATGCAGAAATTGCAGTAACACTGCTGCAAATGCATCTTTAACAGCATTTCTTGCACCTTTTCTAGTATGAGCATTCCTTGCATACCTAATGATGCATTAACTACATTGTAGTCTTATTAATTTAGTGCTGTTTTGTCACTAATAGGTAATAGTTGCTAACACATGCTTTGTTTTGCATACACTGACTACTCACCCTCTTCCCTTCATCCCCAATTCCTACATCCGGCATTCGCTGCTCTGTTGTACTTCGTTGAAACACCTATGCTGGTGACAGAGCAAAAGCACATGATGGAGCGCTTGGAGTGTGAGCTTCAGCACAATGAGGAGCTCGAGCGGCTACGAAAGCAGCAGCAAGAACATCACCACCATCATCATCAGCACCAGTCCTGCCCAGCTAGCCAACATCAGCCATCTGAGGTTCGTAGCCGACACTCCTTGATCTGCCGTGTGGTCGCTTTCTTCTGGCGCTGTTGGCTCGGTCCTCTGCTTTTCCTCTTCTGGATTGCATTTGCTTTAGCTTTGCATGTGGCTTCAAGCACAACACGTAGGTTGTTTTGCAAACTGGCCCCACCATTTGCAGAGTAGCACCAGAAGAGATTCGCCAGCAGTGTGGATGAGAGCCGAAAATTATGCTATAGTAGTAAACTGCTCAGAAAACTTCAGAGGTGGGGTGCTTTTTTTAGTAAACTGGGAAAATTCTTCTGGGAGAGTAAGCTGTCAAAAAAACTCCCCAAAGGAAGTGTTTCTTTAAGTTCTTCCTATTCCCTTGTGTATTGAAGATTAGATTGGTGCAAGTGATCTGACTGGCTCAAACTGCAAGCATGGGCTTATTCTAACATGATGATATATTTGTCATTGCAATATAACTACATAGGATTCAGTTTGCCTGCTACATTGTCCCTGGCCTGCTGTAGTGAAAATCGTCTATCCTGTATTTTTTTAAAATTGGGATGCTATTTTTATGGCTAAAAAAGTGTGACTGTGGGGGGCTGAGTGTGTTTTGTTTTGGTTTAGTAAACCAAATTTTTATTTATTCTGCACATACTTGTGGCATAATATGTGCAAATGCACATGAAAAATATCTTGTAACAATTGTTTAGAGCCGTGGACTTCACATGGCCGTAACTTTTAACTTTCAAATTATTTATGCTTGTGAGAATTTAATGACGAATAATCACTGTAATATTGGAGAAATCGACATATGTACTACATAAATGACAATCTCTCAGGGAAATTTTGTAATTCGAGTCTTTTATAGTGCAGAGTTTTATTATTTGTAGTTTTATGTGTTCTCTTAAACCATGGCCTTTCCTGAATGCTAAAAAAGTGAAACAAAAGTGAAAACATCAGGCTGTGCTTACAGACAGTTTCTAGTGACTGCATTGCAAACTAGTTTTTAAATCTTCTTCCAGCTGCACCTCAGCTATTAGCCTACACTTGTACGATGTACATGCAAATAGACATTGTTGTTGTGGCATCTTACAATTTTATCATAATTAACTCAAGCCCGTTTTATGCAGTTTATCACTTTTTGATGGCCACAAAAAGGACATATTATGAGGTTTTGGTTGCAATTGCATTTATTCGAGGCAAGATCTCAGGAAAACAAACAGGCAGAGCACACACCCCAGATGATGATAATGACACACGGTGGTGATTAGGACAAAGAGACTAGCAGATGATGGCAATTATGATAATGCAGGAATGAGGAAGAAGTAAATGAAAGAAATGCCAATAATATGTAAGAAATGCTTAAATCTCTGATTCAAATGCTATACATATTTAATGTGACTGTTGCTGGCTGTTTGTGTGAGAATTAAGCGCATCCCCCTGAAATTCATGCTTGGTAGCATATACTAGAAATAATGTTTACTTGTGCATTTATAAAATATGCGTAGCATCACTGACCAAGCTGATGATATTGCTAGTATCCGAACCTATCTAGGGCTACCGAATCCCGCGCTATTTGACTTGTGGTGGGCAATTTTCATGAAAATTCCTTCAGGCATGAAACAGGCACACCATAGGGCAACTGAATAATGTCTTTTATTATGCCGAATTAATTAAGTGAAGCCCTTGTGATCGTATTCTGCTATATAGCCTGCGAGGCCTCTCATTTGGACTTTCTAATGCAGGCATATATTTATTTAGCTATAGCAATCAGTTTAGGGAATAGATATCTTTGTGACATGGCATTGGATATTTCTTGGTATAACTGGTCTCACTATTTATTGATACTGGGCGGTATTGATATTGGTATCTTGTTGGCATAACATCATGCATTTAATTACATTCATGTTGAATCTTGATAGTATAGTACGATGGGTGCAATGTCGTACTTGGAAAGCAGTCCGTTTTAGTTTCTTTTTTAATGATGTTTCACTAGCTTCATGAAAAGGCTTTTTTACATTGGTTGAAAAGGAATTGAAAAGAAAGGTGATGTTGGCCTCTCGCGAATAAATAGCTTTTAGCAAGGCTTAGTCTAGCTTCTGTGATATGAATATTTGCTGAATAAAATTTCCTATGTTAAAAAAACAAAAAAACTCTGTTTAAGAATTTTTTGTTTAAGAATGTGTATCATTTCATGAGTTGCTTCATGCGATTTTAGTGGTATATGTGGCACCCGAAGTGTTGATATCTGTGCATGCTGATACCTAAGTGTTTGTATCTGTGAGCATGAATGCTGTGCATTCATTCAAAAATGCTTTTTTTTTCAAGTAGCTTTTGTACTATACTGTGTCGTTTCTTTGTTATTCTTTTATCAAACTGTAAAATTGTTACTAACCGTGAGTTTTTTCTTTTCTTTTCTTTCTCTTCAACCGACTTCCTGCCTGCTGACTCGTCAACGTGTGTCACGGAACCTTCATTGATCGCATCCTCCAAAATGTACTAACTCACTGACGACTGGCTGATTTGCTGCATAACCTGTATTCCACTCTGCTTGACTGTCCATCATGTGATTTTTCAAATCTGAACGGTAAACTGTGCTATTAACATCATGTGCACATCAATCATTTCAATGCCACTCAATGTTTCTGCTGAAATGGCAATTGACATTTCAACATTTATCCACTTTCATCATCGATGTTTTGTGGCGTCACGTCCTATGAATATAAACACTTGTCTGTGCTTTGTACTATTGGTACTTCTTTCACGCCTTTATCTGTTAATGCCACGAACTCTTTACTGGCTTCCAAATATTTTGAATATTTTATTATCATGTTTGGCACTTCTTCAAAATGCTTTCTCTTCTAATAATAATTAATTTCATCAAATTGGGATTCACGCTCATTCCAAAACTGCTCCTGGACCGGCCTCAAAAACAAACCTCCGAACTGCCGCATTTGCTTGCGCTCTTCTCTTGCGCCGAACCTGCACGAAAACCAACACAATTTCCTACAGCAGCCTCAGCCGCAGCAGCTGCAGACGAGTGCAGTCGGACCGAGTAAAATCGACACCCTGCTCAGAGACCTGTACGTAGAGAATGCTCGGCTGCTGCGTGCCCTGCAACGTGCCGAGGACGGTCGAAGGCGTGCCGAGCACAACAGCACGCGCCTGCAGTACAAGTGTCGTGTTCTCAGCAAACTCCTCACCGACGTGACCAGGGCCGCGGTGGACGGTGGAAGCTCCAGAGTGGCGTGTGCCTGAACCTCCAGCCACAGCTTCGTTTTTTGAAGATGAAGTTGCTTCATTCCTGTAGTAACTATGACATATCGAGCAAAAGGGAAAAAAAAGAAAACAGCGTGCCCCCAACAATGAGTGGAACGCCAGTTTGTAATGTCATAGTTCACAGGTACAGGTATGGTAATGCAAATGTGCGAAGCCACCTGGGAACACAGGACAAAGTGCTAGGTCTTTCCTGTGTCTGCATCACCCTGTGACACAGGACAGGTGGCTGTGTCTAACCTGTGTCGGCACTCTGGCTTTTAACACGTACAGGACAGAGTGCTGTGTTGGTCCAGTGTGACTGCACGATGTTCTGACATCGGGCAGATAGGGTGTGCTATTCTGTCTTCCAAGGCAAGTTGTTGATGCAGGAAAGACACAGCATGTTGTCCTGTGTCAGGGAGGGTAGTGCTGGCACGGCAAAGACCCAGCACATTGTCCTGTATCTTCTGGTGTCTTGTTATGTTTGTGCTGTTGTACCTATGAACTTAACGTACCAGAGTTCGTTTTGCTTTCCTGTCTCGATGCTGGTGGTTGCAGGTAGCATTACAGATGTCACTTCACCGATGGTCATCATCGTCCTTTGTTCTTGACACAAGCCATTGTGTGCCGTGCCTATGGTTACTGTCATGGGTCTCATCATTTTTTGTCTGCAACACAAGCAAGTTGTGTGCAGTGCCCGTGGTTATTGACAATGCCAACGGTTATTCACAGTGACAGTGTGGATTGCAAGAATCAGTGACGTCGGCGACGATCAACGCCTGTCCTCTGGAACAACTGTGTTTTTTTCTGCAGAATGAACTCTGTAGTTGTCTGCAGCAGTGGCAGTTGCCTGCAACACCAGCAAATGTGAAGAACATCAACAGTTATAAGGAATGTCACTGTCAGCCAGCAGGGTCTCTGAGTTGTGCAATGTTGGGACAGGCTTCGTGTCACAAAGAATGTATGTATAATCATTTTATGCAGCAAACATCGACAGTGAACTATGTGCTCGTTTTTCTTCCTCTGCCCTTGTCACTTTTTTTTCTTTTTTTACCTATTGCATAAAAATTTGCAGTGATGGGACTACTGATTGTCATATAACTTTTGGGATCCAAGAGGTATACTCCCAGGCAACGGAAATTCAATTTGTAGCTGGATTTGTTTAAACTTAAATTTTGCACTTGGCAGAAGTTTTGGTTGCATAATTAAGCTCGGATTGGATGTATGTCTGGTGAGAAATTTATCAGTTTTAGACTGAATTTTCCATATTTTAGCTGCGCATTCATTAATTGAAGCTGAATTGTAAAGCAATAGCTTAATCATAGAGCCGAGAACATCAATAGCTCGAAAAATTTCTGGTTGTGTGATCCAGCTGAAAGCTGAAACGTTTTTTCATCTGGGATACTACATAAAGTGCATAAGCCCTTATTAAAAGTTTTTTTTTTTTGACAGAATTGTGGATTTCAGGATGCTTATCTTTACTTTTTTCGTGCCTTGTAGTAGAAATGGCTTTTCAGGCAACTTCGATCCAACGCGCTTTTCATGGTCAAATCCGATCCTTAAATAAATAAATTAAATGATGAACCAATGTTCTCAGCCGATTGTGTACTTCAAAAATTTAATATTGGACATTTTTGGTCAGCCTGATTCAGACCACAGCGAAAATAATACGGTCAAAACAATGTTTGCACCCTTTTTCTTGTGGATGTCCTGTTTTCACGTTGTATTTATCGTATCTTTAAATCATCCTCCTCGAGTACTTGTTGCCTTTTGATGTCTTGACCTGGAACAGACTAATTTTTCTACGCTAGGGATTCAGAACACAAGTCTCGCTTTGTGTCCTTATGCTAGAAAAAGAAAAAAAAAACATTATCTCATTGTTTCAGATAGTTTTTTTTATATTAAGTCCCCTGATTTCGCCTGGTGACCTGCATTTGGCATGATATACAACTCAAAGGCTTGTTTACAATGCAGGGAGTGTGTATAGGAGGTCTAGTTGTTAAAAACATAGTTTTGAGAACTTTAACTATGTTGGGGACTAGATACCAGACTAGATAAAGACAGGATGTATGCGCAATAATGTTTGTTTAATTGAAAGCAGTTGACTTTTAGTAGTGCGAATATCTGAGGTTGCTTTATTGTGTCCATATATTTTTTTTGCCATAAGTTTGTGTTAAAGAACAAAGGGTATGTGACATTTTGGAGGCTTCATCAATATCAAAAGATAACGTAGATAGAAGGTTCAGTGAGTCATTTTTTTAACAAAACTTGATTTTCTTCAAGACAGAGAGCGTACTATCCTCAATGCAATCTTGATTGTTTTGATTAGTTATTAGTGTACGTTCATCCTGTCTTCTACTACTCTGGTCTCTAATTTTTCAACCAACTGAAGCTTCACATTTTGTTTGCAAGAGCCATTTATATGTTATCATGTCATCTTATACTTCTTGACTTGATAATGTGTGTTCAGATGTAAGAAAAATCATTAATATTGAATCTGTATCAACCCAACTGACTGATTCGCTAAATTGCCTTTGTGCCTTGTACGTACGTAACTGTGTTCACCCAGAGAGCTTTTGGGAAATAGTTTGTATCTTATAGATCTTCAAAACACCTTCGTTGCCTGTTGTCGAAGCTGATGTTATATTTGCTAATGAAGTCATCACATCAGTGTATTAATGTGTACACATCGCTCCGGTCTGCTCGGTGTGGGCTCGTTACACCAGTGTGCTAAGTGGGCAAAATAAAGCAGCGTACTAGTGTGCCGCATTGCTACCATATATTGATTTCGGCACATTACACCAGTGTATTGATGTTGGTGCATTCCTACACCTGTGCATTATTTTTTGTGCACATTACACCAGTGTACCAGTGTATACAAAATGACCCATGTCTCTTAATCTAAGAACTCCAGAGTTCTTATGACTAACTATAGATTACTCGCTTTGGCCAGAGCCGGAGGACATGTTGCTATAGCGGTAATTGCAGAATCTCCACTGTAACAAGGATGCTTCTGATGAGGGAGGTCTCACCGGCCTGCCATTATGTTAGATCGATCACTTCAGTAGTCGGCAGTTAGTTGTATTCACCGCCGATAAGCAGGTGTGGCTTTTGTCGGTGACTTTACAGGCCCTTACCAAAAGAGTAGGTCAGATCTCGTTCAGCGGTTCACAATGTACAATTCTTAACCTGCTATATTCAATGTGCAATGTTCAGTCATTTTCAAATCCCAATGTGAGTTTAAGGTCCCCAAGCACGTAGTTCTGCTGTACAAACTAAAGTGATGGCATGGCCTTTTCTGTATTTCAAGGGCTGGTCATTCAAACTCTACGTTATTTGTTTGTTTGTTTTTCTTCAATTTTTTTTCTTGTGTGGAATGAGCTGAGAGTGCAAGGAAGGCAGACGCGTGAAGGAAAATAAAAACTTGTAGGGATGAAATCAGTGTGAGGTGTTTCTGGAGCCGATGTTTCAAGAAGCCGACCTTTTTTCAGGGTGGCAACCTTGACGTTGTAGCTTTGAAAAATGTCTGCTTGCGAACACGTCAGTTCCAGAGACACCCCGTACTGATGAATATTTTATCGCGAGCAGCCAGTGACACTTTTGTTTTTTAACAGTGGCTTTCGGTCAACCACCGACTCTCAGTTTGTGTGAAACTTTAAAAAAAATCCAAATTCAAGATGAATGATTAAAAATGAACAACCGAAAATCGATGGTTCTTGTTCAAATCTAGAGTTATATAAGTGGATATCACGTCGGAGGATAGGTTTACTTGTAAGGGTCAATGAACTGTTAGGATAAATAATGAAAATAGTGACGTTTTTGGAAAGAGCAGATAGATTACTTGCGAGCAGGCTGTGATCGTTGCGGCACCTAGTGAAGCAGATCTCAACTACGCGCCACTCTCTGCGTGGCCTCCGAGATTCGCTTCGGCAACGCGAGAATGCACTTTACCTATCGGGTACACCAGGGCCCACCATCGTCCATGCTGGAGCGCCTCTACCGAATACGTTAGTCAAGGTTTATGGTTGCCTTCATTATTTCTTAGAGATGATTCTTGGGATACGTCAATGCTCAAATTTTGCTGTCTGTCTGTCTGTCGCGCAATTGAGCCATTTGGCGAAAATATTTAGTACTTGCTCGACGCCCAGCCGTCTTGCTGTGGTGGCTGTGTTCGTACTTTGATGTGGTGGCTACGTTCATCAACTAGATTGGCATCACACACCGCATGAATCCCGGGAGTCCTGTATCTTTAGAAAAAGCTTGTCATGCACATCGTCAGATTGGAGTGCACATGTCGGGTGTCCTATGAGGTCATATGTTGACGAAGTGTCTTGTTATTACTGAACTACATACACTCCGGGCCGCATAAGTAAAGCCTGTCATCTACTTTGGAATGAAATGCCTTGTCTACGCTGTGGCGTAACAGTTCCCACGAATGACGTAACAGCGTACCTGAACAGTGGGCTGTGACATAAGGACGTTCCATTGAGGTGTAGTGTGACGCTATTCACATTGCGCAAAGCCCTATCTGACGGTGAAATGTAAATAGGTGCTGATGTGCCTACATTAATGTTCAATGTACTGGCGTGCAGCCGAGCCCGCGCGCGGAAGTTTCAACTTAAAAACTTCCACATGAGGAGGGCACGGATTGTACGAATGATTGAACTGCATACAACTTTTCAAGGACACTCGTCATGGTGGTCTAGTGGCTAAGGCATTCGGCTGCTGAGCCACAGATCGACGGATCAAATACCGACTGCGGTGGCCTCATTTTGTTTGGAGACGAAATAGCTTGAGGCCTGTGTGCTTTGATTTAGGGTACATGTTAAAGAATCCCAGAAAGACGAAATTCCCGGAGCCCTCGACTACGGCGTCTCTCATAACCATATCGTGGTTTTGGGACGTTAAATCCCAACATTATTAACATTAAGTTTCCAAGAACAGTGCGGATAGCTTATCGGTTAGAGAATTCATGTTTGCCGGGCCGATGCAACAGTCCTGCCGCAAGAACAAGCCCTGGTGGTGAAGCGCAAGCAGCAAGTACCGAGGATCCGGCTGCCTTCCGAGCCGAATGAAGCGACAACGGCGAGCCGAGGAAGCGGCGTTGCGGGCATAGCAACGTCAACACGTCAATGGTGGGAACGCGTTCGCCAGGGCAAACGCCCGTTTTCTACGGGAGTTTTTTTAAGAGGCACTTTAAAGTGTCTTCGATTCGGCGCTGCTCAGACTGCACCTGCTCGACCTGTGCAGCACTTTCCTCCTCGATTTTGTTGTGCCGTGCGCGCGCTCTGCTTTGGCTCCCTCGTTTTCTCAAGGTACGAGCGTAGTGCTGCACGAGTGCTCGCGCTCGCTCAAGAGGCGGCGCTACATGGCGTGCGCCCCTTCCTCCTCCCAAGCTTGGAGCAGACGACGCTGCGCGTTGTTCAGGGCGTGCCTGCAAAAACCATCGAATCATGCTCGTGCCATTGACGGGTAATCTTAGCCGTGTATTTTCGGCAGCTTTTGAGGCGGGGTTTTTTTTTACGTGTATGTATCATGAGTGGATGAATCCACCGTAGTTGACTGCAGTAAGATGATTTATTGAAACAGAAATGTCTTAAGTGTGTAATAAAGATTTGTTGCTTGCGGCGCAAGCTGCGTGCTCACTTCATCTTTGCGAAAGCGTGAAGCTGATGCGATAGGAAGCATTCAGGAAAAAGTGTTGGGTTAAAAGTTAGGTTCGAGGGGTCTTGCGTACGTGCGATGTAGCGTGAAGGAAAGTGCTTCTGTCTATCAAAACCCCCGAAATTTCTCACTTTCTCTTGCTCTATGGCCTCGCGCGCACTTCGACAGAAGGTCAAAAGTGTGGGGTTTACTACTAAACCACTAAGCTGTCGTTCCATACAGTCTAACAGTCGATTGAGATCATACTTTTGGAACAGCTCGACAGCGTTTGCTTGGGAACATAATTGCACGTGCAACAAGCAGGTGACCAATAAAAGGAAAACCCCGTCACCTCCTTGTTACTGTACGGATCGCCGTTGTCGGAATCATCGACGCTGTTGAGCTCTTTTTTACGCGGCTGTTACGATGACTTTCCTCGCGACAGTGTTTTGATACACAACACCATAATACACGACGCCTTGGCTATTCGACCAACTTGGCCTGCACTTCCGTCTTCGTTTTGGCAGTAGCCGCCGCGCTGCTATGTCGCGGCTGCACCTGCACTTGCTGAACCGGTGCTGCACGCCCACAGCACCGCTGTGACACTTTTCAGAATTAGTGCAGGCACTGCAAACCAAATCGAAAAGACCTTTGGTTACGGCTGCGACCTCTGCAATCGCCTGTGGCAGGGCATTTCAGCTTCGCTGGTTAACCATCTCCATTGGTGTTTGGGCGTTTTTTTTTTTTGTTTTACAGCAAGAGCTGTTATGAAATCACAACTCGGGTCACGCGCAGTTGTCCGCTGTCACCGCCGCCGGTGTCCATAACCACATCGCGCGAAATTAGAAAATCAAAATTTACCACCAATGACACAGTGGGGCTCGAACCCGGGTCCGCTGGGCGCCAGTCAGCCCAGTAGTCTACCACTGAGCCACACCGGTGCTTGGGACTTGTTGGCAAACTTGCCTTAGGCAGGCTTGATGTCGGGAAAGCAATCGTGTTAATACGACTTATAAAGCGTTTTAAAGAACGAAAAAAAAAAAAACAACCAGTCGTCGCACAATGCGAATAGCGTAACGAG